GTGATGCAGGTGACTCCGCCGGGATCCCCCAGGCAACTTGTTCGGCCTGAGAGCGCATCTCCTCAACAGCCGGAGGAGCCGCTTAGGGAGTCCATTTCCGATGGAGAGATCAGAGACTCCCCACGGAGTGAACGCTTTCCAACTCCAATGCCTGCAGCCGAGCCACCTGCGGATTCGCCATCACCATCCAGACGCCGAAGTCATTCGTCTGAGCGCCAACATGAAGATTGGCCAATGCCTGGCTATGGTTGTTTCACTGGCTGGGGTGAATACCACCCGTTTGGTTATTACCCACGGGACCGTCAGTCACCATCGGTCCCGAGGGAGGCTCCATCCACATCGAGGCGGGCGGAGAGAGGACAACCAACGTCTCTGCAAACCTCCTCTTCCGGCGACCGTTATCGCTACCATGAAGACTCGGAGGTTGATTCCATGTCTCCTGATGTGGCTATCACCTCCCAAGGCCCTGGATCCCCTGACGAACCGCATGTCACCTTCGCAGAGCTCATCTCCCGCCTCGTTTGGTCACTGGAGATCAAGGCCTATCATCGCCCCGGTCCCAGCACCGATCGCTTTTATGACATCGTCAGGGGAGAGCAGTCTGCAGCCATAGCTCTTCCATTGATCACAACACTCCGCCAAGTGATGGTCCAGCCTTGGGACCAACCAGCTCAACCACAGGCTACGTCTCGTCGGTATGAAGCCATGTACCAGGTTCGAGAGGAAGACATCCCATTCCTACTCCGTCACCTGAAGCTGAACTCGGTGGTGGTTGAGTCCTCCCAGGGCAGGGAGTCGAGGGGTCACACGGCCCCTTGTGACAAGGAAGGGAGGAAAATCGATATGCTCCTGCGCTGAGTCTATGCGGCCTCTGGGCTTGGCCTACTCATATCGAATTATGAAGCAACGCTGACACGTTACCAGTACTTCATAATGCAGAAGCTGAAAAATATTGCCTCCTCCCTTCCGGACCATCAAGCGGACTTAGCCAGGGTCTTCATAAAGGAGGCTAAGCAGGTGGTGATGCAACAGCTCTCCACTGCCAGGCATCATGTGGACACTGACTTGAGGGCCCTTGTCAGTGCCATTTCCCTCAGGCGCCACGCGTGGTTAAGAAATTGCAATTTCCCTGAGGAAGTGAAGAGGAGGATAGAGGAAATGCCATTTGACGGCACCGGACTATTTCACGAGAAGACCAACCATAATCTGAAGTCGATCCATGAATCACGCATGACAGCACGCCGCATGGAGCTTACTCAGCAAAAACGTAAGTGGCAATGGCCTCGATCCTCCTACCACCAACAATATCAGCCTCGACAGCAGTATCAACAGAGACAACAACGTCGAAGGCAGCAGGCACAACAGCACTTCTCTCAGGGCCGTTGACATTTCGATACTGAGAAGCATCAACATTGATGGTCCGGACAGACCATTATATCTCTCCACTCCCCACCTTCCCCTCTCCCTTTTGGGGGCCAGCTCCAAAGCTGACTCCCCATTTGGGAGTCCATTCTACGCGAGCAGTAGCAGCTTCGTCTGCCTTCGCCGTGGGAGTTCCGCTTCAAGATATCTGCAGAGCTGCAACATGGGCTGCTCCATGCACTTTCACCAAGCATTATCGGCTGGATGTGCCTGCCAGACAGGACTGCTCTTTTGGCAGAGCAGTTCTCTCATCTATTCTTCACTGACGACACCTCCCTCCTCCAAGTCTGGTAAGCTTGCTAATCACCCATATGTGTGATGCACAGAGGCCACGACGAAGAAAAGCAGGTTGCTTACATGTAACTGATGTTCTTCGAATGGCCATCTGTGCATTAACACAACCCACCCGCCGGCCCCGTTCGGTGACGGTGAGTTGACGACCTTCTCCATTGGTAACATACTTTAATATTTATGGTACCGGTGATGTTTGCTGTCATATACTTTCAACCTCAAGGGGACGAACGTTCGGTCTTCAAGACTGAGTAAAATGGTGGACACTCCGCTCTATTTATACTACGGAGGGGGAGGGGAGCAGAGTTTTTCCCGCCAAAAACCGTTAGCTTTCTAATCTTCTGGCCTAGGCACTGTGCAGGCGCAGCACCCGTATGTGTGAATCCACAGATGGTCACTCGAAGAACATCAGTTACAGGTAAGCAAGCTGCTTTTTCCAATCCTGTGGCCACTGTTGAGTTTTCCAAATTTGCTGGCATATTGAGTGTAGCACTTTTACTGCATCATCTTAGGATTTTGAATAGCTCAGCTGGAATACTGTCACCTCCACTAGCTTTGTTGTTGCTCAGAGTTCCTAAGGTCCATTTTACTTCACATTCCAGGATGTCTGGCTCAAGGTCAGTGACCACCCCATCGTGGTTATCAGGAACGTTAAGCTCTTTCTTGTATAGTTCTTCTGTGTAATCTTGCCACCTCTTCTTAATCTCTTCTGCCTCTGTTAGGTCCCTGCCATTTTGGTCCTTTATCATGCCCATCTTTGCATGAAATGTTCCCTTCATATCTCCAATTTTCTTGAAGAGATCTCTGGTCCTCCCTATTCTGTTGTTTTCTTCTATTTCTTTACACTGTTCATTTAAGAAGGCCTTCTTATCTCTTCTAGCTATTCTCTGGAATTCTGCATTCAATTGGGTGTATCTTTCCCTTTCTTCCTTGCCTTTTGCTTCCCTTCTTTCCTCAGCTATTTGCAAAGCTTTCTCAGACAGCCATTTTGCTTTCTTGCATTTCTTTTTCTTTGGGATGATTTTAGTTGCTACCTCTTGTACAATTTATTTTATTTATTTATTTTTTTATTTATATCCTGCCTTTTTCCTACAAAGGGCTCAAGGCAGCTTATATCATTCTCCTCCTCCATCTTATCCCCACAACAACCCTGTGAGGTAGGTTGGGCTGAGAGTCTGTGACTGGCCCAAAGTCACCCAGTTGGCTCCATGCCTGAGCGGGGACTAGAACCCAGATCGTCTGAGTCCCAGTCCCATGCTCTTAACCACTACACCAATGTTGCGAACCTCCATCCATAGTTCTTCAGGCACTCTATCAGATCTAATTCCTTAAATCTATTTGTCACCTCTACTGTATATTAATCAGGGATATGATTTAGGTCATACCTGAGTGGCCTAGTGCTTTTCCCTACTTTCTTTAGTTTAAACCTAAATTTTGCAACAAGAAGCTCAAGATTTGAGCCACAGTCAGCTCCTGGTCTAGTTTTTACTGACTGTATAGAGCTTCTCCATCTTTGACTGCAGAGCACATAGTCAATCTGATTTCTGTGTTGATCCTCTGGTGATGTCCATGTGTAGAGTCATCTCTTGGGTTGTAGGAAAATAGTGTTTGCTATGACCATCGTATTCTCTTGACAAAATTCTACCAGCCTGTGCCCTGCTTCATTTTGTACTCCAAGCTTCTGTGGCTATTACCAGTTTAGCATCTGGCATATCCAAGCACAACCTGAACAACCCTTTATTTTAAGCTCAGAGTCACTTGTGGACATCATTGTTATTTTCTTTGTGTTATCCAGTGGTAATTCAAGGCATAAACATTATATAGCCAGGGGCCTCATTGGGAATTAATTTTCCCATAAGATTATCAAGAAACACACCCTGAGCTTCAAGGTAAGTGGGAACAAACATCAGGTCCAGCATCAGGTCCAGAAGGATAAAAAAGCACAGGTAGTGATCATTTAAAGTTATATCTACAACCATTCATATAGTGTCAAATTTGTGATAAACCTGAGTATCCAGACCAACGCAACAGCACCTTTTCAATCCAGCTGTTCCTTCACCTTGAATATGTACAACAAGCCATGTAGCACTTTTCAGAAAGAACTGCAAGCTATATCCATTTCATGACTAGGAGATTTAAGTGGAGATTTCAGCCATCCAAATTTGCATTGCAACTGCTGTACCAAGGTAAAACTCAGTCTAAAAACAAAAAGATACTCTGCTGCTTTGAGGATGAACTTGAAATCAGACTTTTCTCCAAACACTGTATGGAAGTGTTGGAGAGAAAAGGAGAACAGTGGGGACAGGTAGAAGGGATTGCAAAAGATCTTCACACAAACATTAAAGTGCATTTGCTGCTTAACCTCTTGTTGTTTTTAATAAAAACCTCTAGAAAGGAGGTGCCGTTGTCCTCCCTCATTCACAGGATTTTACCAGTGTGATGCAGGGGAGGAAGAAAATCCAGATGATGCAGCTTTCTGCTTGTAATCACCCAATGACTTTCCTCTGCTTCTTGCATATTTTTTCTTTCTACCAAAAAGAAAAAAAATCTGTTTAGGAAGACAGGACAGAAGAGCTGCTCCATGTCTTTTATAATTTGTAGTGCAGGAACTGTCTGTCTGGTCGCACCCATAGTTCTTTCTCCTTGTGTTGTTTTAGCAATCAGTTTTCTATGTGTTGTCCCTTTATAATAGTATTTGAAAATGCTGCTGTGAAAAGCAGGCATGCATTCCTGAAGCTGCCGTTACACTGTCCACTAATGTTGTATGCACATGTTTCATGTGTGTGAAAGTAGCATTGTGTATTGTAGAGATTTGCCATTCTTCATCCCAGTTGGCAGAGCATGATTAGGTGAGTATGTACACAAATCTGCTAATGGATGCAAATGTCTACTCTAAGCTTTAATAACATTTACTTCTGTAAGAACAACAATGCAGCGCCACAGCCATTTTTAGAAGAATGTGTGGAAAGAGCACTTAATTATACAACCTTATGTTGGATGGGCTGCCTAATAATGTAGAATTAAACTCTGGTGGCTTGAAATATGTGGCAACCAGTAAATGGTTGCAGTAAAACAACAGAAAGACAGCAGTGTTGTTCTGGTTGTTGAGTTTTTTTAGGTGCCTGTATTCTGATCTGGTTTGAGAATAGCATTATTAAATTCATGGCAGAACTGACTTCACATGCTAGTCCCAGTATACAGTCTTGAAACCAAAAGCATATTTGAGTGAGGGTATTTCTGAAGGTGTCAGTGATACCTGCCACTTTAATCTGTTTTTCCCCCTTCAGCAGGGTCATCAGCTATTAAGGAAGCTCCTCGGGAGGAAACTGAATCCATTCCAGAATATACTGCTGAAGAAGAGCGGGAGGACAACAGGTTATGGAGAACAGTTGTGATTGGAGACCAGGAACAGAGGATTGATATGAAAGCTATTGAACCTTATAAAAAGGTTATTTCTCACGGAGGTAGGAAAAATCCACATGTATTGTTAAACAGGAATGGAATTCCCGAAATTTGGAGAATACTCTTTGTAAATATTCCTTTGCTGTATGAACCATATTCATAATAAGCGTCCTTTTAAAGAAAAAAGCCTGGACATAAAGGGATACATGAAGAGATAAAATAGTTAAATGTCCAGTTAACTGTGGTTATTAAAGAAAACATCTGTACCTATAGCAGCAATATGTTTACCATTGAAATATGGTGTTCCATGCTCCATTTTCCAGATCCAGGATGGATAGTTACAAAGGAAAGGAGATGTTTAAGGGAGCAGAGAGAGGAGAAGGAAACCAGTGTTCATTGTATAGTTTGGATTGAATATTGCAGGACCAGTTGACTCACCTGACTTGATGCAGGTTATTTCCTGCTGCCTCCCAGGAAAAGTAGTCAAATCTACTTCAAGAAATTATGTAATTTTTTCAATTTGAGTCACCTGATATTGTGTCCTGACTAAATAAAAATAAAAATTGTAACCTTTCATTTGTAAACAGTGGAAGCTTATACTGGCCACAGTTCACTATTTCTGGAGCTGTCACTATCATAAGATGCAGGATACATGGATTTGGGATGACAACCATGCTGGCCTCCTCCCCACACATGGAATTGCTGGGCCCCAACCAGGAAAAGCTACACATGCTTTGCAAAGTACTAACGAAGTAGGAGAAACACACAGTGACCTTTTCTGTCTTCTGTTTGAGCCCTTTGATGACCTTCCTTTTCCATCGGCTGTAGCAAGTAGAAACATAGGAAAAGAAACAGAGTGAGTCGGAAGTGGTCTCCCAGGCCATCTAGTCTGAACCCCAGCTCTAGCCGACTCCACTCATGACATGCCTACCATGTGTATGTCCAGCCTAGTAGGAATTAGTTTCCCCATGGTAAGGGGAAAAGGGTGGACATGGACTAAGAAAGGAAAGAGGCAGTATCTCTAGTATGGACTAAGGCCTAGGATCGGAATCTCTTCCCAGTGCTACAGTGCAGAACATGTGAGCTATAAGTATTCTTGAGCATGTGCAGAGAGCCCTACTGAGTAGCCCTCATTTGTTCTCCCCAGCTGAGATTAGAGGGAAGGGCTTCCAGGCAAGCAACTTTGCTTGAACCTGGCATTATAGACGTTGGTGCTGAATTAACAACCAAAACAACCTGAAACAGTATATTCCATTAGCTCCTTAGAATAGTTTTCCATTATACCCATGTAAGGAAATGCTACATTGCACATCATCATATGGCCTTATTTGGGATTACAGACTGGTACCATTAAAGAGGGCCTGTGGAATTGCAGAGACAAATCTTTCAGTGTGCACATGCTATTTATTTATTTAAAACTTTTATATATCGTCCACTACCAAGGTCTCAGGACAGTCTTACAATAACTGAGCTCAGACCCAATTAGAAGGAAGGATCTATGGAAATCCCATGTGACAACAGCTACATTTGGAATCCCTGGGGATTTTCTCATTTATAAGTCAATAAAAGCTCATAACTTTATTTTAAAAAGTGCAAGTAATGTAAAACTCAAGAGTTCTCCCCTAGTATAATCTGCCTGTCTGTACTAAAGCAGTATTTGTCATTTCTAAATGAAATTCCTCTTTAAGCTTCAAAGGATTCTGCATTTAGAATATTTTCTCCTAATTCCTATTTGGAAGAAATGTTCTTCATCTGTGTAGACATGATTCAGCAGAGACTGGCATGTGCCTTGGTGTCATGGCAGCTATCATTAATCCATCTCTTAAAATAGGGCCATTCAGCATGATGGCAGAGCAATTTGTACATAAAACATTTTGAAGCCTCTGAGTCATCCTCTAAACTCTTCCCACCTGGACTTTAGGTATGTTTATGCTAGGGTTATGCACTCATCATCATCATCATCATCTCTATACTGCCCATAGCCAAAGCTGATTGGGCAGTTTACAAGATTAATTCACCCATATTTCAACCAGGCCTGACCCTGCTCAGCTTGTAAGATTAGGCAGGATCATGCACTTCAGGCTATATAGGAGATATATGGAGTTTATCCCTCCAGATATTTTGGCCTATAGCTCTCTTGTTTCATCACCACAGGCTATGCTTGCTTGTGGCCCTCCAGATTTTGGGTGGTGGGAGTAGTAGACCAAAGCACCTGAAGGGTCACACTATGTGGGAAGTGGGAAGTACTCCTTCCATCTGGAGGTTCAGGCATATTATTTATTTATTTATTTTTAATTTTTGCATTTATATCCTGCCTTTTTCCTACAAAGGGCTCAAGGCAGCTTACATCATCTCTCCTCCTCCATCTTATCCCCACAACAACAACCCTGTGAGGTAGGTTGGGCTGAGAGTCTGTGACTGGCCCAAAGTCACCCAGTGGGCTCCATGGCTGAGTGGGGACTCGAACCCAGGTCACCTGAGTCCCAGTCCCATGCTCTTAACCACTACGATATTATATGGCATATGCTATCTTCAGTTCATAGCATCACTCTGTTACCTGCTCTCACTTCTTTTCTTTCGTATTTATATGGAATGTGCATTGTGTGTTAGCATCTTTAGTCTCTGTAACCTCAGAATAACCAGTGGATTGTTCATTGTCATGGGAAATGGGGCTGCCCCTAGGGAAGAGAAAGGTGGGCCAGCAGGCCTAATCCCAGAACAGGCCGGTTTTCTGAAGGAGATGGAATGGTGAGCTAGGACTTAAGCCAGCCAGCCATTCAAGCTCCATATCACTTTAACAAGATCTTGTTTTTGTGGCTTTCTTGCCCTTTCAAAGAAATGAGGGAACAGTTAGGGCATCTGAGACTTGGCCACTGCAATTGAGTACATTTCATGCCATCTCTTCAGATTATACCTATCTAACTATTCAACATCTGTAAACACAGCTGACACCAAGGGTAGGCATGGCTTGTGGCAAAAATGAGAAACTAGAAACATTAATTCTGTCACAGTAGAACACATGGTAGTGCACATGTGCAGCTGTGTGCAGTGATGGGAAGAGTCCAAGAACAGGTATGGCTGGACAGCTGCTGAGGATACATTCCCCAGTGGGGGACAACTGACAAGAGCCTCTTGGAGTTGCCCTTGCTCTTCATCACTGCAGCCCACTTGTTCACCTTTGGCCCAGACAGCAGTGGTGGTGAGACAGAGAAGCAGATGCCACAGCTTACTCTTCGGTTGCAAACAAGTGGCTGCTGTGATGAAAAACAAGGCAAGGAGCAATAGGAACAAGTGTCTATGGCAGTGGCAAGGATGTGGACTGGGGTGTGGGGGGGCATGAGGGTGTCTTGGCTGAAGGCCCTCAAAAACCTGGAGTTGAGGCCTGCCAGATTGTTTTCTCGACTTTGTCCTGTTAAGAATCTTTGTGAAACCCAAACACATTTTTCTTTGCTCCACAGGATACTATGGTGATGGTCTAAATGCCATCATTGTGTTTGCAGCATGTTTTCTACCAGATAGCAGCCGAACTGATTACAACTATGTCATGGAAAACCTTTTCCTGTGAGTGATGGGAGCCATGTGGTCAAGTCTTTGGAACTAAACGCTGCTTAATTAAGAGATAAGTTAGGGGTTTTTAAGTGACATAAGACATCAGGAGTAGTTTTCTTTGACTTCTAATTCATCTCAGTGAAACAGGTTTGCAAATGGAAAGCATCCAGTTTTCCTCCTAGAGTGAATTTTCTCCACAGCTGATCATATATGTATACTACAGGCTGAAAACACCCAAAGCTGACAGTCCAAAATCATCACAATAACTCTTTCTGTTTCTTTAGCTTTAGGTATATTTTGTTTTGTTTCATAGCTAACAATGAGTAAGAGTTTTCCTTGGCTTCCTAGCATTCAAAGGATTATTCATATATTTTGCTGCTCAACAGCAGACACATAAAAAGCCTGTGAAACTATCTTTTAGACCTTTGCTATGTCTGTTGACAAGACAGAACATCCAACTACCAAACATTTTTAAAATCCCTGTTTGTAGTGGCTTGTCCAGAAATAGGTCTGGTGTATGTTAGTGGATGCACATTATTGGCCCACCACCAATAACTGAAGATGATTGATCATGAATCCCATATATTGGCATGACAGCTGTCCTCTCTTTATATGCCCCTTGGGTAATATAGGAGAGGAGGAACCATGTGACAGAAGTAGAGTCAGATGATAACTTTAAATTAGAAGTGAACTTCACAAGATTTCTTTCCCCAAGTATTTCTGCCATAGTCACGAAGTTCCTGAATTCAAATGATATGAAAAGAAGCAATAGGAAAATGAAGTCCTTCCTCTTCACCCAGTCTTTTAAATAACATAAAAAAACCTGGGCTATTCTTGTTTGATATTGCATGCTTGCACTGTTAATTGGTTTTATTTGTTTGTTTTTCTCTGCTGGAGGGAAAGTATTTGTGCAGTATTTTGTTTTCCTATTACTGCAACCAGAGGGTTCAAGATGGCATTTCAGGGGTTGCAACAAAGAGGAAGGTTGCATCCTTTGCCAAAAATTTTCCCAATAATAACATTATTTATTGTTTTGATACCAGTATGCTAAAGACATTTTCTAGCTTCCCTGGAAATAGAGGCAGCCCTAGACATTTATAGCTCCCTGCTGTGTGTTCCAGCTCCAATCAGTGAAACTCTCTTGGTTAAATAGCCCAAACTTCTAAAGGGATCTATACTAATTTTGATCTGTGCCATGTAGTTACTTAACATGGGTTTAGGATGGCCCTTATACTAGTGGAGCTCTGTTGATTAAAAGCTTCTGAAACTTCACTTATTGTTTATATTATTTATGCTATTGTATATGTTCTTGTAAAATGCATTATTTTGGTTTGAAGTGCAAAAAGTAGTGTTGAAGAGGATGCTTCCAGGCATGGTTCTTTTGTGCCAAATTTACAGGGAGTTCAAATGGCATGTTCTTCAATTGCGGCCTTCCTTTGTTTTACCCAACCAAAAAATAAAAAATAAAAACAGAGAGCACAAGAGAAAAGTCAAATGATACCTCTTGTTGGGTGGTGGTGGAAATCCTCCATATGGAAGCACCCCACCTCATTTCTCTCACTTCTTCTTTCTTTTTCTTTTCAGATACGTAATAAGTACTTTGGAGCTCATGGTTGCTGAAGACTATATGATTGTTTATTTGAATGGCGCAACACCAAGGAGAAGGATGCCAGGACTGGGGTGGATGAAAAAGTGTTACCAGATGATTGATAGGCGGTGTGTAGACCACTGCTTGTTTTCTATTCTCGGCCTTGGCCTACTTGTTCTATTAAACTCATCTTCCCCTCTCTCCCTAGAAGTGTAAGATCCAGTTTCTGATATGTTAGACAAATGGTACCTTTATGGTAGAATGATAAAAGTGTATGTATCCTGGAATCTTGTGTGTAGCAGTGGAACATATTTCATGGGCGATTCATTTCATGTTGAAGGCTTAAAATATGCTTCTTTTCAAATACAGGTTAAGGAAGAACTTGAAGTCTTTCATCATTGTTCATCCCTCTTGGTTTATCAGAACAATTTTAGCAGTGACACGGCCATTTATAAGGTACCAGTTCCAAACCTTCAAAAATGTAAAGTTTGTACATAGAGGTCCATCTTCATGGAGCCACTTTTATTGTGGGGAGAGAGAAAATGGACATGTGAGTAGGAAATGTGTTAAGAAGAACGCCAGTAAATAATTTCTTCAGAAGACCTCATCAGCAAATTAACAATAAAACCATTGACTGCAGTATGAAGTAGTTTGCTTGTGTAGAGAGTGAGCTGTAAGCTTATTTGTTTAGTTGTTTGATTTATACCCCACTTTTCTGCTTAAGCTTGGATATCTGTGAGCAAATCTCATCTCAGCAATGAGTTTAGTAAACTGCCGTAGGTATGTTGCTAACTTTCAGCCTTTTCTCCTCACACTTACATTTGCCATTATGCAATATGAGGAAAGTAATACCCATGTACATAGCAGGGTACCTTTGAAGACTCCTGAGCTAATCTATGTAAAACATATTGAACACTCAAGAAGCAGTGCTCAGATAGGGGAAGGGACCTCTAGCATAATGCCAATGGCATTTACTGGTGCTGAGGTTTTTCTGCCACTAGCACAAGGTAATTTATGTTCCTGCTAGTGTCTGATTGGGTATTATCCAATTGGAGGTTTTCCACATGGAAGCTTACATGTGAAACATACACGTGGATAGTCCAAGCCGGAATACCAAATGCACTTAGTTACGAGTAAGTCCCAGTGGAGCTTGCTTCTTAGCAGACATGTATAGGATTACTCTGTCAGATGCTTGTGATTGAACCTGGAATGAATTGTAAGAGCTATGGTGAAATGCAGATTCTAGTACACTTAGAAGTTTTTAATTGCTCAAGTAATGTATAGTAATTCTGTGTTTCAGCTCAAAATTCAGCAGTAAAATACAATACGTCAGTACTTTGGCAGAGCTCAGTGAACTCATTCCAATGGACTATGTAAATATCCCAGAAAGTATCATCAAGTAAGTGAAGAACATTCAGCAAGTAACAATGAAACAGTGTGAAACTAAAGGTTGACTTTCCAACCCAGCTCTCTGTTTATTTCTAATATTTTCAGAATATTTAAGATGTTGATGAGAAATGAAAATTGAAAACTTTAAATACAGAATCCTGAGCACATTAGAGAGGATTGGTATTCATTATGATTGATCAGGAATTAAAAACTCTGTTTCAAATTTCAGTTTTGAAATTCTCATGGTACAAAGTATCCAGGAATCAATAGCAAGGTTGTTGTTGCCCCACTAAGTTCTTTAGTATTGTCCATTAGGAAACTAGAAATGGGGAATATTCTTACTGTGATGCTCTTATCAACGTTGTATAAGATAGAGTAGATAGGTTGTTTATAGACTGTGGTGTGGATTTTTTTAATCTCATGGTAACTTGCAAATATTGAGAAATTTCTATTATTTCAAATTCATTTCCTTCAACAGTGCAACACTGTTACAGAGCAATTGGCATTTTTTATAAATGCTTATTTCAACATTATGCTGTCAGAAGTTGTCCTCTTCTCACCCTCTGCCACCCTGCTGCGGTTTGCCTCTAAAGGTCTAGCCCAAAAGAGGAACAAGCCCTGGATCAGAGGCCCACAGCTGCTTATTTTCCAAAATAAAAATGGCCAGTTTATGCACTTGTATTGTTTAAAGTGGATGTATTATAACATGCACTTCACCCTAACCATGAAGATTTAAACAAAGTGAATGTGCATTGTAGCAGAGTAAAACTGTGTTTAAAAGAGAGCATTTGTCCCTTACCACCTTTTATTAGAGGTGATGTAGCACTGAAGATAAGAACCTAAGCTGAGAACAAGAAGCTCCTGTTTCAAACCTTGTCTCTGCCATTATTTTAACTAGGTGGTGTTAGGCAAGCAACTATTTCTCACTCTGCCCCATTTTAATATAGGCTCAATGATACTGACATATCTTGCAGGTACAATATCTCTCAACTGTTCTGAATGTTCTAAAGTGTTACGTTAATGCTACAAAGTTTCAGGTATCTTTAACCTGGACAGGTGTGGTCCTCCTTGCACCTGTGTCATTCATAAAAGAAATGAGTGCTGGCAAAACAAAATAATTGATCTGAGATATGCAAACACATCAGATTTTAAATATAAGGTCAGTGAAAGATGACAGAAATTAAAAATAAGAAGCAGTAGCTTGAACTTATATTCTATTGTGCAAAAGCTTCCTGTTGGGAACACAGTATGGTGCAAAAGAATGATACCAAAAATATTTTGAATGTCACAAATCAGGATCGTCCAGTGCTATGTAAATCAAGTGTTGGGGAAGATTTTTTTCATCTAGTAAATCACTTGTCTAAATGAAAAGACTTGATGCAATTAAACATTCCAAGCATTCTGCAAAACCAGACACCTTTCTGTTCCTCCCCTGCCCCCACCACATTTCTCTCTTTGTAAAGTCCTCTGATTTATAACTTGTTAGTAGCTATATTGCACCACTGGAGAGACCTAGATTAAGAATGGCACTGTCTGTCTCTATCTTCCTTAACTGATTTTCCCCAGATACTTATGAGACTTGCTCAATGTTTTATAAACTAGCACCCTAAAAAGGGAGACCACACACTGTAAACAGTTAAAGAATTGGAAGTCCTCTCACAAAAAACAGAGACAGATTTCTCCATAGTAGTAAGCAGCATCCTAAAAGACTCCAGCTAAAGCCCAAGAAAATGCATCTGAGAAATAGGTATTTTCTTCACATTCCATCTAAAAATGATCAACAGAAACAGCATGAACCCAAAATGCTAGCTAGACTGGGTGAATATCCTAGAATTGATCACTGGGCTTTAGTTTGCTATAATCTCACTGGCACCCCAAGTAAAATAGAACTTTGTTAGCAGGGATTTTCACCACCATTATACAATAAAATACCCACATTTGATGAATGTGTGTCCTTTCAGATATGCTGATGGCATATATCTGCAAGGGTAAGCCTGACATCTCAGTTTGACTAGTCCTTGGACAATCAAATCAGTTTGAAAGAGTCAACTTATTGGATTACTCCTAATATGGTACACCATGCTCCTAAAAGCTCTAGCTGTGTGCATAAAGGCCCTATATCTGTACATGCACCACTGTTCTTATCAAAACACTGTCTTACCAACACATTTGTAGTCCATATAAGTACAATAGTGTGGAATGCAAATACAAATTTTAAGTCTGCTTCTATATAGATCTCCCTTGTTGGTCCAGGGAGCATTTTTCTGCTGGTGGTTGAAAATATAATTCACCAGCAGAGCTTTTCATGCACACCACATAGGAAAACTGGATTTTTGCCTGTTCAGGGGAATCACTCTCAGGTTTATGTAAGTATCACAGGAGAAGGGGCACAAAGGATATCTCAGAGTGTTTTTATTTTCTGCTGCCATATATCAGCTATTCTTCCACATTTAAATTGCTTGACACTGTGAATAGGTATTTATACTAGTATGAATAATTAATTTGGGATAAGTGTGTCAATTGGATATAATTTGACTTCATCTGTTTTTGTCCTTCACCCACTTTTCTCGAAAGGTATGATGAAGACAGATCCTTTCAGAGAAGAGTAAGGTAACGCTCTTGCTCTGCTGCAGCTTGTGCTGATGTTTCTAATGGAACTTCAGTTACGGGCTTCTGAGATCAGTAATTTTCAGCTGAAGACTGCTACACCAGAAATATTCTTGGCTTGGCTTGCTCTGCAGCTAAGCTTAATCTCTTCAGTCAAAGCATCCTTCTCAGCTATATACAGCATGTGTGTTGTTAGCTTTTATAAGTTTAAAGATAAGATAAATATGGCAAATACGAAATAAAGCTATTATTGGTACAGAACACTGAAAGCACGTACTTTGCCTGCTCTGCTCTGCACTTGCCCTGCTTCTGTCTTACGCTCTGCTTGCTTCTTCTTCTCCTTTACTTGTCCCTGAAACGTCAATAACTTTTACTCACACAGACTGGATGAAGAGCTGAGGGAGGCATCAGCAAAGTAAGCCAGTATTCTGGTAACCACTAGTCCTATATATTCTTACTTTAAAGGAAACAATCAGCAGTGCAATCCTATATACTTCTACTCAGGTGTAAGCCACATTGAATTCAATGGGACTTACTGATAGGAAAGTGTGCATGGGGTTGAATTGAATTACATGCAATTATCAGTCAATTCATATGTGCAGATGTTGTGGTTTAGTACTTTGGTTTAAAGCATCAGTTTTCATTCAGCTTTGACATTCAGGAAATTTAATATAATTACTCATCTAGTGAATGCCTGGTTCTGTGATATGGCATTTCAAGGGGTGCCATATTGACTTCCTACATCATCAATAAAACCACTTTACTCTGAAGTATTTTTACTGAAACCACTTCAGTGATTGATAATCACTAACACATCTCATATTCAAAACAGATTTACTTGAAAATGGATCCCATGGTTCATGATGAAACTTGCCTCTTAATTGAATGTATTCCATTGGCAGCTTCTTGCATGATCTGTTCCATGGACCTGTTACTTAAGATGTTTTATCCTTTTTTGAAGGAGTCATGTTGACCTTTATAAAACAAGCAAATATATTTAGATTGATTTATTCAGCTAAACTGGATTCTACTAAAACATCTGGCAAATTGGCTTCAAATAAAGACTTTGTGAAAAATGAGATGATTCTGCTGACATACTTTAAATCAGATTGGGCCTACTGAGGATCAGTAAAAATTATCCAGAGAATATAATCCTTCTGACCTCCAGGACTTTGCATATGTTGTCATTTTATTGCCAAGAACAATAGAGATGCATAACATGTTGTTGTCAGAAAGCCATATATCATTAGACTGGATATGGAAGACAACAGCTATCAACACTTATTTTGGAGAAAGTGGTTTGACTGTGCTTTGGCTGTCAATACAATTGCATGAGCTTTAGCAATTCCAAATGCAGCTTTGTTTCTTTGAAATTAAGTAATGATAGTATTATAGCATCTGTATGACCAAAGTGGCCACTGCAAAAAGCTTAGATATACTGCCAAACGATGACCACATGATGCAATGCTGAGCTCTGATTTCTAAAAATGGATCTGCTTTGAAAGGTGCATAGAATGGCTTGCACCAGTTTTGCTACAGTGGCATCCTATGCAAGACATGTGGAAGAAAGCCAGTCTGCTGTGCTGCCTATTGGTTGCAGTCCTATTACAAGAGATATGCAGTGGATAGATTGCATCCACAACACTGGCTTTATGATAGCTGTAAATCTTTATAATTGCATAGGGTCATCTGCCACAAATACATATTCTGCAACACATTTCTTAGGTTTTTGAAACAAATTAGCTAATTCCCAAGAGAGAGAAAAATGGTCACTGCTTTTTATTTCCTCTTACCTTCAGAGCGAGCTGTCTTTCAAATGAGCCAGAAATAACCTCAGTCCAGCAGGAGTAAGACTTTACTATTAATTATACCATTATGCCTGTGTATTATTTAGTGATCACACAGTGCAAGAGACATTGAAGAACTGGGTAAACTCCAGGTAGTCTCTTCTAGATCCATATTCTTAGATGCTTCTCTTTAGACTTCAGTTTAAGTTGTGTTCAAAGAAAAGCTAGTTTTGTAATGTAGCTCTCTAGTGTAAAAGCTTGGTAGCACACTTTAAGTGGCACACAGGATGAAAAATTTCCTTATAGCAGGCTAATTGGATAAATGTGTTAGTCTGTTATATCATTAACAGTTCAACACAGTGGACATGATCTGCAGCTTTGCACTACAGGAATATCATTTTTATTCTTCTGGAGTTTACCCAGCTTTCTTGTTGTTTGTCCCCTTGTACTTTTGTATCCATGCCAAAATCTTTCATCTAGTTGCATTTTCATTTGCCTCTGTTTGTGGTATGAATAGTAAGCGGCAAATGCTTTCATCAAAAAGCAGAAGTATTTTGCATGTTTTCAATTTTATTTTGGGGTTTAGAAAACATGTCTCTAAAAAAACCACACACAGAGAAAGAAACAGAAAGCACATCTTATTCTACACAATACAAAAGAGCCAATGGCATCATAGCTCCAGGGCAGGGTAAACCATGCTGCAATCCCATTGAAATCAATGGGACAAATAAGTAGTCATCACTAAGTTAAGACCCATTGATTTCAGTGGGATTGCAGAATGACTAAATTTTCCTGTTTGAGGCCCAATTTATTTATTTAGTACATTTATATGCCACCCCAACTCAATGACATTCATTGCATTGAAAGCAGGCTTTTGTGGAGAAGATACAGGTGGTCTCTATGTGTCTCTATGTAACTCTTTAGGAATGACTCAAGCACTGCTTGTAAGGAATAGGTATACCATTACTGGATGACATCATATCTTCTAGTAGCTCATAAATAAAGCACATAACAACTCAGAGGAGGAAATCTTTGCCTTTTCTTATGCATGGGCATCTTGAACCTACATTCTGCCATGCCCTTTATTTTACCATTGGGAAGTTATAAAGAAACAAACCCAACTTTATTTTGGTGTTGTAGGTTTATAGGAAACAACCTTTATACCTAAGTCAGATCATGAGTACATCTAGCTAACTGACTAAACTGTATCACCATCGTCATTATTACTCATCTGTTGCTTAAATTAAACCAAGTTACTTACAGAAATCAACAGGATGTGGTCTTGCCAAAAGGAACTAGCACTGAAAAGAGTGCCCAAAGGTCAAAATGAAAAATAACTCTATAATTCATACTTCTATAAAGATGTAATTTTACAGAAGTATAAAGATTTTATAGATGTATAAAATTTTATAAAGATGCAATTTATTGAGCATAGGGAATTTCGATTTCTCCATTTTAGTGTATAAAAATACAATAGAAAAACTAAAGAGAAGAAATTAACAGAAAAGGTAATTTTTAAGAAGTATATTTTTAGAAAAGAGAAAATTAGAATCGGCAATAAGGAAAAGAGAATTCCTATCTTAGGGAGAAATGAAAAAGGGCAATCCAAACACCATTATGAATAGATAAAAATAAAGGTTTAACTCAATTGAGGATGCAATCATACGTCACACTGCTACATTTCTTTAAAACCCTATTGTGGCTTAATGCAGCACAGAAGGGAAAGAAGTGAAGGGGCAATGCTGGAAATAATATGAGGGTGAGGAAGCTGGATACATCTTCAAAGAAACTCAGTAATCATCAGTGTAGTTCATTGTCCAGTAGAGGAGTGGCCCTTTTAGCTAAGAGTTAGGCAGGGCCCCACCTTCTTGGGTGGAAATGTGCCAGAGAGGCCAGATCTTGCACCAACAGTTAGATGGTAGCAGCAGATGAAAGAGAGTTCAGTGAACATACCACATGCACAAGAAATTATGTCAGAGTTGGTCTTCTGGTTACCATTTGCAGAAGTAGGAGGAGTGTTGAGTCATGCTTATGTCTGAATAGGCATCCGGTCAACAGCTGCTTTGGATAAGGAATGGAGGTGCTGGACTCTGGAATCTAACCAAGAGGTTGTGTATTCATGTAAGATTCATATCTCTGTGCAAACAGGAATAGGAATAAGAAACCTGAGGATGAAGAAACAGATGTAGTTATGGTCAACAGTGTGGGCATCTTTAAAGGTCACATTCATGGAATCTAAGATTGCTTCATTGTGGTCTCTGTGCATCACACATACAGGTGTTGTGCTTGCGCAGTGCCTGTATTCAGGAAGATTCTCTCAGCTAGTAACGGTTTTTGACAGGAACTCTGCTTCCCCACCCCCTTGTATAAATGGGCGGAGTCCGTGCCCTCTCGCCAAGATTTATTGATAAGTACTATCAATAGTGGATGTATATTATGAAGAGGAAGCAACGCTTGGAGATAAAGTACATGCTTTGCATGCAAAAGGTTCCAGCTTCTTCAGGTAGGGCTAGGAAAGAATTGTTCTTGAAATGCTGCAGAGCTTTTGTCACTCTGCATTGACAGTACCGGACTAGGTGCACTAAGGGTCTAACACTATCTAAGGCAGCTTCCTAGATTTCTGCATTATCTCCATGAGCACAGGTAGTATGCTGCTGAATACCAGTTGCTTGATAACACAAGCAGGAAAGTGCTGTTGCTTCCGCGTTCACTTGTGAACTTCCCAGGAGTATCTGGTTTGCCACTGTGTTAAGAGAACGCTGGACAAGATAGGCCTCTGATCTGAACTGGCATAGTCTTCCTTACATTCTTAAGGCATTCAGAATCCATTTAAGGTCTTTTTGTAGCACCTTGAAGACTAACATTAGGAGATGCCTTCCCATGTGCTCACTAGATCCCAGTTCATCCAATGTGTAATGTGATATCCTCACCACTTATAGGAAAGAATGTAAACAGTGGAGCCAAAAAGTCATGCTAAGCAAGAGAGATAGTCTGCCCTTATCAAACACTTGTCAGGTTGCAATGCACAGTTGTCAGTCACAAGTTGCCTAGCCCTATATTGGAAGAAATGCAGTAACTGAATCCTTTTCAGCTGTGCTGATATAAACTGTAAATGAATTCTAAAATAATTATCACCAGATATGCATAATCACAATGAAACTAGCATGCTCTTGTAGGAACCTGGCCATTCTTGCCCCTGTGTATTAGGAGTTGTATACCTGTGATCTCACTGAGTACATTTACATGGATGCTGGCATTTTTATACACCAGCCATCAAAATACTACCTAATCTTTTAAGTTAGGGACCTTACTTTGAATTGTTGCATCTTTTACTTTGACTGCATGTTTGTATCCTCAGTCCCTGGCATGATTGGGCCATAACTTTAAAAGATGGAAAAGGTCAAGGAAGCATAACTTTATGGAAGGGAAGCATGTTCATGGAGTACATAAAATAGTCAGAAAGTGTCTGAAGCAGTTGTGCTGTTAAAGCTAAGAATGTTGTGTGTGAGCAGTAGGCAACCACCACTGAGATGTGTGCTCACCACTGCTCTTTAAAGGAAGTCCTAGATGGATCCCTGCATCACAATCAGTGTATGCTGTACTGAATTATTTTTTCCTTTCCTTTCTTTAAAGCATTGACATGAAGCAGAAGGGAAATCTCTAATTTCCTTGGTAAGCTGAAGAAAAGAATTTTCATAGTTTGATGTGCCCAGGTCTTGAGGATGGGGACAATTTTGGCTTCTCCTTTGAGTGCAGTCCTCCGGGATCATCTCGTCCTTGAGCCTTTTTTTACAATCATTTCCGTGAAGTCTGTCTGTGCAAGAAGAGTTCCTGGTAAATTGCAACCTTCATTTTCTGATCTCTCAGCACTTACTGAGATTCAAAAAAGCGGGGGATACTACTGCCATTGGGTAGGCAGTGATGTTTCAATCATGGCTTGGTGTATTATTATCTTCAGGAGTGTTAGTGCAATAAGGAAAGCTCCTTCGTTATGGCTTTTAAAATTCCCAGTTATTTTGCCATCAGCGTGCCTCCTCTGTGATTTTTCTGGTTTGATTTGTTGTTCTGTTACGTCTTCAGCATATTATCATATCTGTGCCTACCTAAACTAGAGAAGTTAACTTCCAATATAGCAATATTGAGTTAGGTTTTTTTTACACATGTGTCTCAGTCCAGTGTCTCTAGTGCACAGTTAAGGGGCTCCAATCAGCGTACAGAATTCTGTAAAAGGAGAGACTCAGAATGCTCCCTCCTTTGCTTTCTGAGTGTCTGAACAAGGAGTATTTCTTAAGGCTGGGTGGCTAAACGAGTCCAACTCCCATGGCTCTCCACATATGTTTCAAAGCCTTCACAAATCCTGTTTTGCCACTGTTAGCTATCATTCTACTACTTTGTTCCCAAAACATCTCAGTATATATCTTGGTATGTAAGTTTTTTTCACCATCTCCAAATCACAGACTGTGTTCAATTCGGCGCATGATAAGTACTGTGCTGTGAACAGAGTAATTTTCCTTAGCTGTGTGGAAGCATTTGTCATTGAGAAATACGTTTCCGGATGCTTGCAGAAAACCTAGTGAGGGGGAACACTCAACCATGAGAACATGTGCAGACAACAACAATGGGATTTGAAACTGAAATGCTTCTTTAATATGGGGTGGGGGAACTTGTGGGTCCTCCAGAGATTTTAGCCTGCAAGTCCTATCAGCCAAAGCCGTCCAAGACTTCTAGAGGGCCAGAAGTTACCAACTGCTGCTGTGAGAGATAAAGTACAAACGAAGAAGGCCAGAACATATACTGAAACATCAACACTGCAAGAGAGAATGAAGGTTCTGCTTAAAATTTGTTTCTCTTCCAATAGAGAGCATCAATAATTCTTGGATCAGCACCTTTTGCTAATTAGAATACCATGCAGTGATAGCACTGTAGTGAGGAAGACAATCTGAAATGTGCTAGATTTTCAAATGGTGGTGATAATGAGTCCATGAGTTGTGTGAAGATTATTTAATCAAAAGTGCAATGCCAACAGACATAACCAATATTAGATAGACTTACTATGCATAAAAACTCACTAAGTTGCCCATTTCTACTATACTGCATAGAGATGGTTTGCAGCAGCTACAATTCAGTGGTGTCTGGTACCATTGTGGCTAGCCATCATTAGACATAAAGCATCTCTATGATAGGGAGGGGTGGGAGTGGAGAGATCTTTGGCCCTGTGCTCTCCACTCACACATTATTCACATTCACCTTTAACAAAAGTTCATAAGGAAGGCTTCCACTTAACTATTCAACAAGTGCGTTGATTGGTGAGAGGAAGGGAAGGAGAAAAAAGAAAACTGGAGCCTTCTGAACCCCAACATTGAACCTGCCATTGCTGGACAAGGTAGTTTTTAACCTCCATTTTAATATTAACCTGAATCTCCCTCCCTCCCTCCCTCATAGAATTGCAGTGATTTCTTTAATGTTGCAGAAAGTAAAGAAATTCTCTAGGGGATACTAAATATCTTCCTGTTAGTTTGATTTCTGAAATAAGAAGCAAATTTTACATGTGCACAGCATGGTTGTGCCCTAGACTACAGATAATTTGCTTTGCACATGGAAACCTTTGATAATGGAATCAATGAGGTCTGTGTAGCTGCATCCCATCAACTCCATACCTGTCCATACCCCTCAGGACTAGAAGCAAAGTTTTGCTTCCTCCAATGGAAGTCTTTTTGTGAAGGGGAAGCTTCTGGATCCAATTCAACAGCTTAGGTTGGTTGCATTTTTCAAAAGGCTTTGAAATAGGCTTTGTCACAGAAAAAAAATGAGAAGAAATTATTTTTAGTAAAATGTCAGATTACAAACATGGATTTTTTTTTTTTTAGAATTGGTATATCTTGTGTAGCTGTTAACAGCCACAACTGAAATGAGGCAATGGGGTCACTCCAGTAGCTTCTTGCCTACCTCTGTTGAATTACATCTTCTCATACCTTAAATTAGGCTGTAAACAGACAGACAGATAAATCTTGAACTTGGGCTGTGTTGCTCTTTGTTTTTTGCAGATCATTTTCAGTTTTCTCCACCCATGCCACTTTGCAGTGCATTTGACAAACGTTCTAGTCAGCAAAAGAAATGCTAATTCAGTTACCAGTTTTGCCTCTTCCCCTTGCTTTTAGTATGCTTCTTTGTCCTTTAGTTTTTTTAAAAAAACTGTTTAAAGCACAGCATTAATGTTTAGAATCATGTATATTCATCCAATATGTAATTTGTATTGCATATAAATCAGTTCTTAAACTATTTTTAAAGTTTCCTATTTTAGAAAGAGAGGCTCGTGTGTGTATGTGCGCGCAGGACTGTTTTTTGCTGCAAACAGGAAACAATTTCCGTGTGATTGGGGCTAAAGAAACAGCACTACATGTGTACAAAACAATGCAGAAACTTTCCCATTGTTTTCAGTATTTAGGTTAGGCATGCCAATATTCAGCTTTAAAATTATACCTTACAGATAACACATAAAAAACCATGTGATATCAACTTCTGGGAGTGCCATTTTGTTCTGTTGTGGAGGGGTGTATAGTTCTTTTAACACTTCCCTGTTACCATGCAATGTTTTGGCACGTTATTGGATCAGATGTTGCAAAAGTTCTCTGAAGCAATTTCTTCCAGTCCTGGAATAACACCATGCGGACTTGTTTCTTGTTTTATGTCATTTTTGCACTACTTCACAATATGTCCTTAATATAATTTTGAAGTTGTGTGTCTTGTGTCAGTGCTAATCCTGTGAACTTCTGAGCACCAATTTCAATGGAACAGTGGATTCCAAATTAGCACCGGTGTAATTCATGCCTTCTTTGCGAACTTGGGTAGGCAGAAGGTAAATCTGACAGTAGATTTTAGACTTCAGCTCCTAACACTTTTGATCATTGAAGGGGCTTCTAGGAGTTGGTCCAAAACATCTGGAGATCTACCTTCTGCTCACCTGTGTTAGATATTTGAGGAAGCTAAGATTGTTCTAAGTCTGAATTTCCCCATGTGTCCAATAGCATGAACTCATGTCCTTAGCCTATGCAACCTGGAACAACATTGATACTAGTCTTTTGCCCTTATCCCAAATACAAATACTCATGTGTACTCATCTCTGAAATATTTGTTCAAGCATTTGTACAAGCATTTGTACAAGCATTCTGAAGGATCAGCTACTTGCACATTTGCCATGGAGGTGTCCTTTCACAAGATCCTTTTGTCACATAGATATTCATTAAAAAGAAAAGAAACCTTGCCATTATTCTTCTACCTCAAAACATGTGAATTCATCCCCAGGGCCTCCCTTGAGTAGTACTTGATTCCTACTTCAATTCTCTTTTGAGAACTTGAGGAGGATGTGCAGCATTCACACAATTTGATATGTCTATACTGAAGCTGGTACTTTGTATTCAGTGTCAATGCTTCTATTAATGCAGTACTAGTGATGGCATAATATTTAAGGAATCCTCATGGGAGAAGACAGTAGTAATGCAGGATTTCTTTGAACTCCTGTTTAATACTGTACCTGATCTTCTTATTCAGTCAGAAGCACCGAGTAAACGGATGCTTGTTGCTTGCAAAGCCATCCTTGTTCCATTAGTGGAGGGAGCAGTGCTTACACAGTTGTGTATACTTGGAGGTGCTTCTCCCTATTGAAGTGAATGGTCGCAAAGGCCCAACATGTGCACTAGAGCATCTGTAGAGCCCTGGACTGGGGCAGATATATAGAAGTTGCTTGTTTGTACTAAACTGCCAACTACCGTACTTTCTCTGTCTTGTTGAACAAATGGATCTGACAACTTTCTAGTGTCACACTGAATTATTATAATCTGAAAATGGTATTTTATTTGGGGAAATATTGTGAGAGTACTTAAATAGTATGTATTTATGACCTTTAAATACAAAAATGTGCTTTCAGAACATTGTAGGCACAGTCGAACATAGAGTTGGGTGCTCAGTAGCACTGATAAAAGTGACATGAACTGTGCACAACTCTTTGGTTGACAGTGGCCCTCAAGATTAACCTTTCAGAAAGGGTTGCGAAGACAGACAAACAGCATGGCCTGCTCTTATGCCTTTATCAGCAGCTTAATCTGCAGTATTCAACAGGTGAAGCTTTCAACTAGTGATAAACATTATCAGCTGCTAATTGCAAACTGCTCCTAAGGGCACAGATACAGGTGAGAGCTAAACATGGTCAACCTTAATTCAAAATATATTTCTCCAAAGTGGGAGTTGTTCTTCTGTGTTGTGACTTTGGCTTTTTGTCACCTTGAGTCAAAGGGAAACCCCACTATGTTCAGTGGGGCTTATTCCATGGTACATGTGTTTGAGATTACAGCCCAATCCTATGAGCTAAGCACATCTAAGCTCATTGTTTTCAATGGATTGAAGCACATCTAATTCTGCATATGTTCAGGCCACACATTTCATAACTGAGTTACTGATGTATGAAATTTAAACAATCTTTCTTTTGTCAAATATTAGAACTTTTAAGGCTTGAACCCTGATAGTTGAAAAGTATATAAGACAGATGCCTTGTTAGAATAAAACTGGCTTTTCAGTGTGATGGTTTGTAGCATTTAAAGGAAAAAGAATTGGTTTTGCTCATGAATGTATATTTTTAGAATTTTCTTTTTCCCCCTTTTTTAAGGCTAAGTATGGAATTAACATATACTAATTGCTATTTTGAAAATGTCAGCAAAAAAGCCAAACTCCTTGTTTTTCTGTTTAAAAAGAAATATAATATTTACACATTTATGCTCATATATGGTTGGATCCAGATGTTACCTTGAAGGGCTCCTTCCATTTAGAGAAGGCTCCCAGTCTATCAGAGGAGCATGCTGATGAAAGGGGTATGGAAATACAGTTTTGGTCAACTCCCTTTTCAAGGCTGTCCTTTATTTTATTTTATTCTTCAAGAGGAATGTGTAACATCATTGTGGAGGATTCAGGTGTTTCACCTACAAATAAATAAAGCATTTCTGTTAATGTTCAAATGCTTCATTTTGTTACTGGGGAGAAAAAATAGTTCCCCCCTTCAGTATTTTAGTGGAATGATCAAAACATGTGGCTGGGCAAAACAATCATGTGTGCATGTGTGCGTGCATGTTAATCCATGATGGTTGTTCCACTACATTCAGATTCAAAGTCCCAGTGCCTCATCATCATCATCCACTTTTACTGTGCCAACCCTAAGCCCAGTGTAGCTTTGGACCAGTTTTTGGAATGTGCTGAAGAATTATGGGAATGGGATCCTAGCCTCACCAAACATCATCCCCTGCCATGGAATGGCAAAGTTCTGATCCCACCACCAGTAGTACAGCTACAATGGCAAAACCTTGCATCACCACACTGAGGAAGCTTCCAGTGACCCACTTCCTTCTCCTCTGCAGAAGGAAATGGGGGTTCACAGTTGAGGAAAAGATTAGCATGAGGATTTGAGTTTCAACAGAGAAAATGCTATAGTTGCTGTGACCCATAGACAAGAGAGTTTCAGAATGTGCTTGTTGATAACCATGAGATGCGTGTCAAGAAATGTCCATTTCCTTGTTTTCCAAATCAACCATGTATACATTCCTTGTGTTCCAAACTAGAAGGAAAATAGCCTTTATCACCCAAAGTAAGCAGAATAAGTAAGTCACATCTGTAATTTAACTGTTAACCAATCAGGATGAAGAGAACAGGCCAAGGATGTACAGTGTTACATTTCACATTGATCTTGATACTATCTTTTAATAATGTTAACCTCTTACATGCAAGATAATAAAAGCTTTCTAGTAGTGTACACAGACACACTGCATTAGTAACTATAGTTTTAGTATAAATTACTATAACTTAGTTTAAGTTAACTTCGCATAAAACTACTTTACTTTGAAAGGACCTCCAGGTTCAAACCAGAAAAGAGGCTTCAGCCTTTTCTGGAACTAATTTTGGAAGTCCCATGATAGCAGCATCTTCTGGTGCCTCAGATACCCTCCAAGGGAGCCTGGCAGACTTGCCTCATTCACACTAAAATCAGTAGGACTGAAAAGTGCTACACTTCAGTTGAATCAGGCCCTTTTACTGTGTATTGTACAATAGATTTGTTTCAACTTTTTTAGTGGCTGGACTCTCTGCTTGAACAAAGGCAGGCTGCCACCGCCAATTCACCACAAACTGTCAGGAAGGGATACTCTCTTCCTGTGCTAGTATTATATTGCTAATACTAGTAATAGAATATGGTTTCTGCCCATCTGGAAAGTCTGCAAAGAATTATTAATCATGTTCCATTCTGCTGACTAAATTGTGTAGACTAATCACAATTAAAG